AGGAATGAGAATGGTGGTTTTCAACCTGTTTTTAAAGTTTGATAAACTGTGCAGTGTGCAAGGGGCACTAAGTTGTTTGGACACAAATACTTATGAAATTGTTCAGAGATAATTATTTAATAGATGGGATTATTAGATATTTCTTTTGGCTCAGGTGCTCTGTGAAAAAAAATTCTAAGTCCCTGAGGGGTGTTGTAATCAGAGAAGGTTTGGAAATTTTTACTGAGTGGTGCAGCAACAAGATAGGAAGGATCTGGGTCTTTGTGTGATCACATGGATCTCCTGGAGCAGAACTGCCTACCACGCCTGGACTGTCCACCTACCTCTGGACTATTGCGTGCGAAAGAAATAAACTTCTTTCCTAATAAAACCATTGTGTTTTGGGGTCTCTCTGTTATAACAGCAGAGCAGACACTCTAGGTGCCCTGCCTGCATCCCCACAACCCTCCGTGGAGATGGATGGCTTCCTGAGTGTCTGCCTGAGGTGTCCTCTGTACGTGGGGCTGGGCTGGCCTATGTGTGGGCAGGCCAGAAGTACTAGGGAGTTACTGTCCCAGGAGTAGCTGCTCCTCCATGGGACAATCCTGAGGCGTGTTCTGTGGAGCCTCTCAGATGATCCCCAGTGGGACTGAGCCCCACATGCCCCCCTCTGCTCATCAACATCTGCTTTCCTGGCTTTCCTCTCCTTTCTCTCACTCCCCCAATCCCTCACCATGTTTCTTGGGAACCTCTCGCCAAACAAACTACTTATACCAAATCCTTGTCTTGGGGTTTGCTCTTAGGGAGCCTGAACTAAGAGGAGCACCTTAGCCTGTTCCCTAACAAATACATAAAATATGTAAATAATTACCACAATGCAACAAGAAAATGGTAAACAAATAAAAGTGGCAAAGGATAATTGTAAGCAGTTCACAATAGAGGATAGACAACTGGCCAATAAACACACAAGATGTTCAACATCACTAGAAACCAGCCAGCTGTAGTGAAGACAGCTCAGCACAGCAATTAAGCACACTGATTCTTTAGCCCAATGGCCTGAGTTTGAATCATGGCTCTAATACTTTTTAACTCTACGGCCTGAAGGAAAATTATTTAACTTCTCTATGCCTCCATTTCCTCATCTATAAAAGTGGTATTATATTAATAACAGTACTTATCTCGTAGAGTTACTATAAAGATTAAATGATAAATATTTTAAAATTTTAAACAGAACGGTACCTGGTACCCAGCAGGTGCAACATAAGTGTGTGGTGAGCAAATAAATAAATAAAACGCCATTTAACCCATCAGAATGTACATATTAAAGGAGCTGATCTGGGAATTCCCTGGAGGTCCAGAGTGCTGTGGCCTGGGGTTCAATCCCTGGTCAGGGATCTAAGATCCCACAAGTCTCATGGCAGGGCCAAAAAAAAAAACAAAAAAAAAAAACGCAGAAGCCGATCTATCAAATGTTGGCAAGGGTTTGGAGAAACAGGCCCTCTCAGACATTTGTAGTGCAAGAGCAATTTAGTATTTATTAAAATTAAAAATTCCTATTTATTCTGTGGCCCAGAAATTCTACTTCCTGTAGCTGTCCTAGAGAAATACACCTACTTGTGTGTAATGAAGTTCATGAAGGTATTTTCACTTCAGCACAGTTTGTAACAGCAAAATGTGAAATTAACCTAAATGTTTAGTAATAGGACCATTATATTAAAGGTCGCAAACTGGTGGCCCTTAGGCTAGATTTGTCCTGAAGGTATGTCGTACTTAGCCTGAATAGTGTTTTAAAATCTTGAATTAGTTGCCAACATTAAAAAATTTGATTTATGTCATACAAATCCAGGTTTTCAAATACTCTTAAAACACTGGAGTTCAAGTTAACAATCCTTTGGTCTGTGTAAACAGCTACTTCTGTTTAGAACAAAACACACCTGCTCCACTTTGTCACTTTACTGATTTGTTACCTGCATATCCCCTGTAGGCACTAGAGTTTGGGACCCTTGGCAGATGAGTTATGGCTCAGCTAAACAATGAATTGCACATAATGAGGTAAATACGATATAGCAGATATATACGTATTGGTGTGGAAGGATCACCAAGACATATTTTGGGGGAAATAAAAAGAAAGCAAGATGTAGAGCCATTATGTATAAGATAATGGTATTTCGGTAAACAAAAAAATTATAAATGTATATGTACAATCTAGAATGTAAACTATGAAGTTCCGGGATTTTTCTGTTTTATTGCTATGTTCCCAGTAACTAAAACAGTGCCTGGCATATACTGTGTACTCAATACATATTTGTTTAATAAGTACATATGTATAAATGTATAAAAGAGTTGTGGAAGATACACACTAAATAAGTGATTAATCCTGCCAAGGGACTGAGATTTGGGAGGGGTGATGGTCAAGGGAGGTTTCTGGTTTTGTTTTGTATAGTTTGACTCTTTTACAAGGAGAACACAATATTGTATCACTTGCATAAATGTTAAGAAACGAAAGAAAAGCAATCCAGTGCAAAATACCACAGGTAATCAAACGAAGATCAAAGTTAGGCTCAAACGAAACCATCCAGAGAAAAAAAATGAATGGGGTTAAAACTAAAATTCGGCATTTATGAGTGAGGAAAGCTAATTAAAATACTTAACCACCGGCTCAGAATTAACCAGCAGGGTGAGGAGTCAGCTGGAGACACTGATGAAGTCCAGCCACTCTGCATACGTGATGAGGCTCCATCCATAACCACAGTCCTCCCTGGTGGTATCACATTTTCTGATTTTGGGGTTTTGTTTTTCAACTCTGTGTCCACAAGTTCGTTAAGGCCTTTCACACAATGTATCAGAAAGTGCCCAGCTTGGTAAGTTTTTTAAAAAGGAAAAAAAAAAAAAAAGAATTAAGAAGCTGTAAGCCGGGTACGTAGCAAAGAGCGGAAAAGAGAAGCGCTTTAATGCCAGTGTTTGGAGATCACAGACATTTCCCCTCAAGAGGATAGGCCTGGCTCAGTTACAGACAGGTTTTCAGAGGCATCGAGAATAGACTGGTCTCAGCTGATTCAGAGGCGTTCAGGGTAAAAGGGACACCCCACAGGGGACTTGTCAATGCTATGTTTGGAGGCAGCTTTTCTCACACCAGGTTCAACTATCATTAAACAGCCTTCCTTCTTATCCTCTAGGTTTGGAGTCAAACAATCGTCATGCTCCCAGGGGCAGGATGTTCAGAGGTGTTCTGAGACAGCAGGAGCAAAGACACTGGAACGGTTCAGAAAGGTCCCAACGGTGTGACTGGCAGAAAGCAAAGCGAACTCTGTCCACCACTAAGACACAGGGTATGAGCCCCTAGGTGTTGCCTGCCCTGGGCCGCCCGGGGTCCCTGCTCGGCTGGGAGCCGAGCCATGACTGGGCTCTACCCAGGCCGGTGGGCGACTCGGTCCGCTTCACAACAGCGGCGTCCTCGCCTGCACCAGGCCTGGGACAGTCTCTTTGTAAGATTTCTGGCAACGGCTCTATAAAGTTGGACCTGCCAGCCGTCAGACTTGACCACATTCTGGAGGAGTCAAGGCGGGAAGCGAAAGACTACTCCGACGATGCAGAACACTAGCCGCAGCCGCCCCCACCGGCTGTCCGCACGCACTTCCCCCGGAAGTCGGCCTGGACGACTGCGTCGCGTGATGACGTCACGGCTCCGCCGGAAGTCTGGGGACGCGCTCTAGAGGCGCGGACCAGAGGAGGCTGGCGTTAAGACAGGTCTCGGCGGTAAGTCCGCCTCCACTGGGCAGTTAGACACCCGGGCTGGCACAAGGCCCTTCGTCTCCCTGTTTGACTCGCCCTTCCCCTTTGTGTATGGAGCTGCAGCCCCACCTCCACCCCTCCCGGCGCACAGACACCCCCAGTGTCCCCTCCGATCTTTCTGCACCTCCCATCCCCCCAACCCCGGTTTCGGCTCCCGGGGAAAGCTCCGGCCAGGCCCACCCGCTGGGATCTTTGAACGGAGAGTAGCATCGGGAATGCTTTTCTGTCGGGTCCCCAGCGTGGGCTCCTCGGGAATAGGGATAAACACCGAGATCCAAGGCTCCCGGGTCATTTCTTCCCAATGAGCTTTTTGTCTAGAAATCTTACAGCCCCGTTCGTCCTGCGGGGTCTCAACATCCCTTGACTTCCAAATTCTTTTACACAATGTATTCCGCCCCTGACTCCTAGCCCGTCATATTATGTGAGGGTTGAATTGATATCTCTGCAGCCAGATCCAGCTTCCTAGAGGAGCCATGTCTCCTGCAGCTTTGGGTGCCACCTGTTGTGCCAGGCGCACGCCGCTGAACAAGAGGAGATGCCGTTTGGATTCTCCGTGAATGTTCGGAGGAGGAATGCCAGAGCTGCCGGCTGAAAACTATCCAAACAAAAGAAATATGTAGGTTGGGGACCCTGAATCACTTCGTGAGAACTGCTGCTCGTTGTTTCCTCTGTCTTATCTCGTGAGGAGTTTCTAGTTTGGTTATCTTAATTGGAAGTTCTGCCCAGAACCATATCTGCCAAGGCCAATAGTAACCATTTCCAGTTTCTTAATACAGGCCTGTGTGTTGACTCTGGTCCCCCTGGGTGATCCCTGATTGTTGTGGTCACTGTCCTGGAGGGATCTTCATAGGACAGCATGCCTGATCCTGGCTGGGGGCCCCTGACTGCCTCTGGTGGATGCTTGCTCCAAGAGCAATGTCAGCAGATTCTTTTGGGTACATTCATATCAATGTCATTGTGAATATTTATATTCAGGGGAGTAAAAGACTGATTTATAGTTGTGGGAGGGGAGGGGGATGCATTTTGCATATTCTTCCCCACTTATTTTGGGATTTGCAGGCAGGAGATGCCACAAGGCAGACCACAGTGGTTTGATTAGGAAACGTTTGAAGGGTGACCAGGTGGGAAGCCCCACTGAGAGGCAATTTGTGCTTGAAGGATGAAGAATCCTGCTTGGAGTCACTTAGGGAATTGGAGTCACTTAGGGAATTGATGTCTGAGAATATGTGTTGGACTATATCCCTCAGTAATTGTCATACTCCTTCTGTTCCTTTGTAAACCCAGGATGGACTTTCTGGTTCTCTTCTTGTTCTACTTGGCTTTTATGCTGATTGGTGGTGTTACGATCTGCATCTGTTCGAAAACCCATTGCTTGAAAGGCCTGGTCAGAAGAGGAGCACAGGTAACAGTGATGGTTGGAGACCATGGGATTTTGAATACCACCAATCTAAAAGGCTCACCAGTTTTCTGTCAGAACAAAAAAGAGATGCCATTTTTTATTCGTTCGTTCACTTGTTCTTTCATTTATGGCACTTGCAGTATATTCGAAAGTCTCTCTCTTTCTGTTTTTGTTACTGTTGAAAGTAATCTTTTTAAAAAAAATTAATTTAATTTATTTATTTTCCTTTTTTTGGGGCTGTGTTGGGTCTTAGTTGCAGCACACAGGATCTTTGTTGAGGTATGTGGGATCTCTTCGTTCCGGTGCTTGGGTTTCTCTCTAGTTGCGGCGCTCAGACTTCTCTCTAGTTGTGGTGCGCGGGTTTTCTCTCTCTAGTCATGGCACGCGAGCTCCAGAGCATGTGGGCTCTGTAGTTTGCATCACGCAGGCTTTCTCGTTGAGGCTCGTGTGCTCAGTAGTTGTGGCACGTGGGCATGTGGGATGTTAGTTCCCCCATCAGGTATTGAATCCGCATCCCCTGCATTGGAAGGTGGATTCTTTACCACTGGACCACCAGGGAAGTCCCAAAAGTAATCTTTTGATGGTGCTTTAAGAGAGGATAGCATTCTCAAGGTTGGCTGTTTTTCTCTAGAGTTGATGCCTGTAGTTGGGCGTGGATGTGAACAGTGTCTTCCTGGAGGGGCCTGATGGGTGAAACTGGGGGTAGTGTGAGTAGAAAGCTGAACATCGGGCTGCCCACACTCCTCCAGGGATCACAGTGAGCAGAATTGGGGTGAGCAGCCTTGGGAAGGGGTTGGCCTGGTGGGGGGACCTGGCCTAATGCTCTGTGATCTGGAGGTGGACTCTGGAACCTAGGATTGAACCCAAGGCAGGGAAAGGCTACATTAACAGTTCACATCAGCATTACCTGATCCAGCCCCTCTGCTCACCTCTCTTTGCCTGAAGACCCCGACTTAGTGCCTTGTTTGGGGTCAGGATGGAAATGGAGGAGTTGACATCATAGGAAGGCCAGCTGAGGGAAGCCCTCCTCTTTATTCTCACTTAAATCTCTTCTCTGCTCACATGCAGAAACATGCCTTAATATCACCAATATTGCTGGCTGAAAGTGAAGCATCTAATTTGTTTAGGAGTGGGGAGAAAGAGAAATGAAACTGAACCTTTCTCTTTTCTTTTGTTTCAGATAATTTCGTATATAATTCCAGAATGCCTTCGGAGAGCCATGCTAAGATTGCTTCATTACCTCTTCCATACACGGTATTTATATTTCAGAGTTTAAGTACTATCTTCTTTTCTATTTCGATTATTAACTGTTGCTGTCCTCTAGTTCTAGGAGGTTCCTTATTTGTTTCCAGTGTGATACAGGGAGGGATGCTGGAGGGATCAAGAGTCCTGGGTTCAGAACCTCTACTGACAGATAATCTGCCTTTTATCTCTGGGGATTTCACATATCAAATTTTAAGTATCAATACTTAAAGAATGGGAAAGTATTGACATGCGTTTCTGTAAAAAGAAATATATACTGATACTGAGACCTCAGTTCCCAACAAAGATGATGATGATAATAGATAACATTTATTGAGTACTTACTATGTGGTAGGCACTAGGTGAAATGTTTCACATGATTTCTAATGTAATTCTTACCGTTGTCTCAAACCCAAAGGAAGTGGTTGTCCATTGGTTCACCTCCGTAGTGTGGTGTGATTTTTTCACAGAGAAGCCCCTGTGAATAAGTCATGTACCTGTGTCCTTTCAGAAACCACACCTTTGTTTTCCTGCATCTCATCTTGCAAGGAATGGTTTATACTGAATACACCTGGGAAATATTTGGCCTCTGTCAAGAGCTGGAGTTCTCCTTGAATTACCTTTTTCTGCCTTATCTGCTGCTGATTCTAAACCTGTTTTTTTTTGCCCTAAGTTGTGAAACAAACCCTGGTAAGTTGAGGCTCTTAGTATAGAAAATGGTGACAGATCAACTGTCTGTCTCACTGACAGTGCTACAAACAAGTAGTTATCCCTCCAAGGGCTTTGCAAAAAACTTGATATGTAGGGTTTGCATGATCGTTCAGCTTTGAATGTTTTCTAGTTTTATTATTTTCTTCTTTGTCCCACAGATTATTTAGAACTATTTAAACATTATCACTTAATTGTGTTATATACAGAGCTTGCCGTCTATATGAAACTGTTTCTTTTAAAGTTGTTACTGATATTTGCATTATGCCCAGGCATGTGGTCAGTTTCTGTAAATGATCCATGTGTTCTTGAAAAGAGTATTGTATTTTCTAGTCCTTGGGCACAGGCAACCATATAAGTCCATTAGATCAAGATGTTAATTATGTTCAGATTTTTTATATTCATACTAATATTTTTGTTTGATTACTGAGAGAGGTATGGGATCTCATTCTGTTAGTAGATTTGACAGATTTTTTCCTTCCCATATTTTGAAGCTATTATGTGTGTGTGTGTGTGTGTGTGTGTGTGTGTGTGTGTGTATAATAGTTATACATACTCAGATGTATTCAAGTTTAGAATTAGTATTACCTCTTGAATCTTTTTTCAAAATACAGTGAGCCTCTTTGTTACTAGTAATACTCTTTGCTCTCAAGTCTCCTTTGTCTGATACTCATATTTATTATTACACTGTTTTTAGATATATACTTGCTAGGTATTTTTTTTCCCCATCCACTTATTTTAATAAATTAAATTTATTTATTTATTTATTTTAAATTTTTGGCTGCGTTGGGTCTTCGTTGCTGCGCGCGGGCTTTCTCTAGTTGCGGTGAGCGGGGGCTACTCTTCGCTGTGGTGCACGGGCTTCTCATTGCTGTGGCTTCTCTTGTTGCAGAGCACAGGCTCTAGCTGTGCAGGCTCAGTAGTTGTGGTGCACGGGCTTAGTTACTCCACAGCATGTGGGATCTTCCCCCACCAGGGCTCGAACCCGTGTCTCCTGCATTGGCAGGTGGATTCTTAACCACTGCACCACCAGGGAAGTCCCCATTCCCTTATTTTAATCTTTTCTATCCTTGAAGGACCAAATGTCCATTAATTAATGAACAGATAAATAAAATGCGATATACCTATTCGATGGAATGTTATTCAACCCTAAGGAGGAATGAAGTACTTATACATCCTATAACATGGGTGAATCTTGGAAGCATTATGCTCAATGAAAGAAGCCAGATACAAAAGACCACATATTGTGTGATTCCATTTATATGAAGTATCCAAAAAAGGCAAATCCGTAGAGACAGAAAATAGATTAGTGGTTGCCATGGGTTGTGGGATTAGAGAAATGGAGAATGACTGCTGAAAGGATTTCATTTTGGGGTGATGAAAATGTTCTAAAGTTGATTGTAGTGGTGGTTGTACAACTCTGTGACTATAAAAACCACTGAACGGGGGCTTCCCTGTGGGTGCAATGGTTAAGAACCTGCCTGCCAATGCAGGGGACATGGGTTCGAGCCATAGTCCGGGAAGACCCCCACATGCCACGGAGAAACTAAGCCTGTGTGCCACAACTACAGAGCCCGCATGCCACATCTACTGAGCCCGCATGCCACAACTACTGAGCCCGCAGCCACAACTACTGAGCCCGTGTGCCACAACTACTGAAGCCCACGCACCTAGAGCCCATGCTCTGCTACAAGAGAAGCCACCGCAATGAGAAGCCCGCGCGCCTCAATGAAGAGTAGCCCCTGCTCACCACAACTGGAGAAAGCCTGTGCGCAGCAATGAAGACCCAATGCAGCCAAAAATAAATAGTAAATAAGTTAATTAATTAAAAAAAACAAACATTGGATGGTACACTTTAAACGGGTGAATTGGGTTTATGAACTATATCTCAAAGCTGTTAATTTAAAAAATAAATTATTTGGAATATTAAATACAGCAGTTTTAGTTGTGCTTTGCCAGGACAGATTGTGTGAACATCTGGTCCACTGTATTGCTCGAAACTGACACTTGTCCTTCCTTTTTTCAGGTACCATAACAAAAGCAAATGAATTACTCTTTCTTCAAGTTTATGAATTTGATGAAGGGATGTTCCCAAAGAACGTGAGGTGTTCTACTTGTGATTTAAGGAAACCAGCGCGATCCAAGCACTGCAGTAAGTCTGGTTCTGGCCCCTCCAGCTCTGCCCTTGCACAGCGGATAAGTGGGCTTCATCTGTAAGGGAACGTTACATAAATCTAGAAGCAGGGCCATTTGACCTCCAGACATGAGGCGGCCTCTGTTGGTAGGGGATAGTTAGATAGCAGTTTCTTTGATATGCCTAGAGCTGAGGTCTTGTGTTCTCCTGTGGTGGGTAACCTTCAGCTCTGGGCAAAACAGCCATTCCTTTGCCACATGGCAGTGCTTGCTGCTCAAGAGATGTTTCTGTAGGATGTTGTGTTTGCAGACTTCAGTCCTGGCAGAGCCTATTCTTCTGGGCAGTGGCCAAGATTCTAGATTAGTGCTGTCCAACAAAAATATAATGTGAGCCACCGATGTGATTTAAAATTTTCTGGTAGCCATCTTGCAAAAGTAAATGGGAAAAATTTATTTTAATTATATGTCACTTAAGATATCTAAAATACCATTTTAACATGTAATCAGTATAAAAATATCATTCGTGGATATTTTTATATTCTGTTTTCATACTAATTCCTTGCAAGTCTATGTTTTTTACACTTACAGTACATCTCAATCAATAGACACTAAGTTTTTGCTTTTTGTTTTTTTGTTTTTGTGGTACGTGGGCCTCTCACTTTTGTGGTATTTCCCACTGCAGAGCACAGGCTCCGGATGCACAGGCTCAGCGGCCATGGCTCATGGGCCTAGCCTCTCTGCGGCATGTGGGATCTTCCATGTTCCAGGCATGAACCCATGTCCCTTGCCTCAGCAGGCGGACTCTCAACCCCTGCACCACCAGGGAAGCCCGACACTAAATTTTTATTGGAAATTCTTGATCTGTATTTAGATTTCATAAAACTTATAGTTGAAAGAGCTGATTCACATACCAAAGCTATTCTAGACATTCTTAAAAGTTTTTCAATGACTGAATCAGTACCAAAACATCACTTTTCTTGGGATTTCCCTGCTGGCACAGTGGTTAAGAATCCTCCTGCCAATGCAGGGGTTACAGGTTTGAGCCCTGGTCCAGAAAGATCCCACACGCCGCAGAGCAGCTAAGCCCGTGTGCCACAACTACTGAGCCTGCGCTCTAGAGTCTGCGAGCCACAACTACTGAGCCCGTGTGCCACAACTACTGAGCCTGCGCTCTAGAGTCTGCGAGCCACAACTACTGAGCCCGTGTGCCACAACTACTGAGCCTGCGCTCTAGAGTCTGCGAGCCACAACTACTGAGCCCGTGTGCCACAACTACTGAAGCCCACACGCCTAGAGCCCATGCTCTGCAACAAGAGAAGCCATAGCAATGAGAAGCCTGCGCACCGCAACGAAGAGTAGCCCCCACTTACCGCTGCTAGAGAAAGCCCGTGCACAGCAATGAAGACCCAATGCAGCCAAAATAAATAAACAAATAAATAAATAAACCAGCATTTTTCTTTAATATCCATATCTATATTGACATAATGGTTTGTCTTTATCAGAAGAATTGATTTGACTTTAAAGCAAAAGCATCAGTTTTAAAATTATGTCTTTCCAAGTTAATAAGTTCACTATTTTGTCATCTCAGCATTATTCACATTGATCTCAGAGGAGCAATGCGTAATTGAAAAACAACTGTGAATTTATCAATATCAACAAAGTATTCTTTCAAGTTTCTCTTGTAGCCACATTTCAAGTGCTCATTACTCACATGTGGCTACTGTATTGTCCCCTTTGGTTCTGAAAGCTTGGTGACAGCAGCTGCCATTGACACTACCAGCTCATACTGCTAGTGTCAGTGTGTGAAACTCTCAATAGGAGTGCACGGTGTCATTATCAAGGATCAATGCAGGGTTGTGGCTCCCCCATTTCTGTGCAGGTGTGTGTAACCGGTGTGTGCACCGCTTTGACCATCACTGTGTGTGGGTGAACAACTGCATCGGGGCCTGGAACATCAGGTACTTCCTCTTCTACCTCTTGACATTGACGGCCTCGGCTGCCTCCATGGCTGTGGTGAGCACTGTGTTTCTAGTCCAGCTGGTGATGGTGTCGGACTTGTACCTGGAGACTTACATCAATGACTTTGGACACTTGCAGGTGGTTGACACTGTCTTTGTTGTTGAGGTAATTAATATTCAGTTAATTATGTTGTGGGCTGTATGTTTCTGACTTCAGGTTTAAAAATTGGAAAAAGGGCATTTGTTTTCTGAGTCAAAATGTGAAGGCATTCCTTTTTAAAAAAATTGATATATAATTTTTAAAAATCAATATATAATTCACACACCATAAGATTCACCCTTTTAAAGTATACAGTTCAGTGGTTTTAATATATTCACAGAACCACGTAACCATCACCACAATCTAATTTCAGAACATCTCATCATCTGCAAAAGAAACTCTTATCTATTAGCAGTCATTCCCCATTCCCTTTTTCCCCAGACCCAAGCAGCCACCAGTTTACTTTCTGTCTTTATGGGTTTGCCTTTTCTGGTCATTTCACATAAATGGAATCATACAATATGTAGCCTTTTGAACTGGTTTCTTTCACTTAGCATAATATGTTCAAAGCTCATTCATGTTGTAGCATGAATCAGTGCTTCATTCCTTTTTATGACTAAATAGCATTCTGTTGTAATCATTTGAGGAACCACCAGACTGATTTCCAAAACATTTGCATCATTTACATTCCCACCAGAAATCTATGAAGGTTCCAATTTCTCCACATTCTTAACAATACTTATTATCTTTTTTTTTTATTATAGCCATATAGTGGGTATGAAGTGATACCTTACTGTGGTTTGATTTGCATTTACCCTAATGACTAATGATATTGAGCATCTTTTCATGTGCTTATTGGCCATTAGTATATCTTCTTTGGAGAAGAAACTTTAAGGGAGAAGCAGCTCATTTTTATTTGGGGTGTCTTTTATTCTTGTGTTGCAAGAGTTCTTTTTTGTATTCTGGACACTTGACTCTTATCAGATACAGGATGTGCAAATATTTTCTCCCATTCTGTTGGTTGTCTTTTCACTTCTTTGATGGTTTTCTTTGAAGCACAGAAGTTTTAAATTTTGATGTTCAATTTATTTTTTTCTTTTGTTGCTTTTGCTGTAGTGTCATAGCTAAGAAATCATTGCTTAATCCAAGATCATGAAGATTTACACTTAAATATTCTTTAAAGTATTTTATAATTTTAGCTCTTACATTTAGGTCTTTGATCATTTTGAGTTAATTATTATTATTATTATTTTTTGCGGTACGCGGGCCTCTCACTGTTGTGGCCTCTCCTGTTGCAGAGCACAGGCTCCGAACGCGCAGGCTCAGCAGCCATGGCTCACGGGCCCAGCCGCTCCGCGGCATGTGGGATCCTTCTGGACCGGGGCACGAACCTGTGTCCCCTGCATCAGCAGGTGGACTCTCAACCACTGCGCCACCAGGGAAGCCCCAACTTTGTTCTTTAGTTTGTAGATACCCAGTTGTTCCACCATCATTTATTTATTTATTTATTTATTTATTTATTTATTTATTTATATTTTTTGCTGCATTGGGTCTTCGTTGCTACACATGGTCTTTCTCTATCTGCAGCAAGCGAGGGCTACTCTTTGTTGTGGTGCATGGGCTTCTTATTGTGGTGGCTTCTCGTTGCAGAGCATGGGCTCTAGGTGCACGGGCTCAGTAGCTGTGGTGCACGAGCTTAGTTGCTCCACAGCATGTGGGATCTTCCCAGACCAGCGCTCGAACCTGTGTCCCCTGCCTTGGCAGGCGGACTCTTAACCACTGTGCCACCAGGGTAGTCCCCCAGCATCATTTATTGAAAAGACCATTCTTTGCCCATTAATTTACCATAATGTAAAAGTCAAAGCCATTCTTTAAAAACTCATTTGATTGCTAAAAGATTTCTATTTCATTTATGGGAAATGGCTTACGAGCAGTCTTTTTTTAGGTAACTGCCTAATTCTCCTTGAGTGTTTTTTTTCCTTTTGTTTCAAAGAAAATAAAATGAGCAAGTGGGACTTATTAAATGAATGCAAGGTTGGTTCAATATTGGGAAATTGATTAGTATCTTATACAGCATTATTAAGTATTAGGAACAATGATATGATTATTTCTCTAGATGCTGAAAAGCCTGTCAAAAAATTCAATACCCATTATAATAAAAGCACTTAGAAAATAGGAATTGAAGGATATTGTCTTAATATGATAAAATACACACATAGTCCTAAAGCCTGCATCTTTCTTTTTAACTCTTATTTTAAAATAGTGATAGATTTACAGGAGGTTACAGGAATCCTGTGCACCCCTAAGCTCCTCTCCCCATGCCAGAATCCCTATGCAACCACAGCACAAAAGCAAGAAATTGACATTGGCACAGCCCACAGTGTCAATTATATATGTGTTCGTTTGTGTTGTGTGTATAGCTCTGTGCAGTTTGTCACATGTGTAGCTTTGCGTAATTGCCACCACAACTAAGGTGCTCTTCTGTCCTTCACCACAGACTCCCTGTGTTATCCCTGGTACCCATATCCTCCTCCCCACATCCCTAATGCCCGGCCACCACTCATCTGTTTTCTATCTTTGTTATTATGTTATTTACTGTTACATGCATGGTATCCTACAGTAGCATTTTGTGATTGTTTTTTTTCACTCAGCACAGTTTCCTTGAGATTCATCGTAGTGGTTGCATGTATCAGTAGTTCATTCCGTCTTACTGCCGTATAGTTTTCCATGGTGAGAGTGGATCACAGTTTGTTTAATGAGTTACCCTTTGAATGACATTTGGGTAATTTCCAGTGTTTGGCTATCACTAATGAGGCTGCTATGAACATTGGTTTAGAAGCTGCTGTGTGAAAAGAAGTCTTCAGTGTGATTGTTGGGTTGAATGGTAAGTCCATTTTAAGTTTTGAAAAGGAGAACCGCACTGTTTTGCAGAGTGCTTGTACCTTTCTCCTCCCCAGGGACGGGGGAGTAAGTGGTTTCTCTGCATCTTTGCCAGGTTTATTATCATTATCACTGATTTTCACTTCAGCTGTTCTCATGGGTATGTCATGATACCTCCTTGTTGTTTTAACCTTGAGTAGTTTTTATTCTCAAGTTTTTTCCCAATTATGTAAATTTGTAATCATACTGAAAAGTTAAAAGAATAACAGAGTGACTACCCATATACCTTCTACCTAGATTTTAAAATTGTTAACATTTTAATCTGTTTTCTTTCTATACGTGTGTATATATTTCTCTGTATTATTAGAAATAAGTTGGAGACGATGTTGCTTCACCCCTAAATACCTGAGCATGCATTTTTTCAGAATGTCAACGTTCTCATACGTATCTACAATTCTATTATCCCATGTAAGAAAAGTAATAATAAATCTATATACTCTCTAGTCCATATTCAGATTTCCCCATTGTTTCAAATATATCTTTTATAGCTTTTTTACCTCCTTGAACCAGATTCCATTTTATAGTTATGGATTACATTTGAATATTATGTCCTTTTATTCTAAAATAATGCCCCTGCTTTTTTTTCATTAAATTGACATTTAGTAGTCTAGTTATCTTTTAAAATGTCCCATGTTCTAGATTTTTCTTTTCCTAATTGTCATCTAATTTTTCTCTTTCTTTATATTAGTGTAAACTGGAAGTTAGTTCTAGAGCCTTGATTAGATTCAAGTTAAATGTTTTTGGCAAAAATGCTTCCTAGGTAGGGATGTGTATTTCATAGTGCATCCCATCAGGTGACATAGGAGCAGTGAAGCCCAGGTTGATTCATTGGTTTACGGAGGTGACCACCAGTTCCCTCCACTAGTGAAGTGCATTTTCCCTTTTGCAATGGGTAATCTTGTGTATATGGTTTTGTTTTTGTATTTAGGACTTTCTTTAGGATAGATTTCCAACAACATAAATACTGGGTCAAAGACTGACAACATTTATAAGTCTTTCGATATTTACATATGTTGTCAAATTGCTTTTTAAAACCTGTGGTTAGAGCAGTGTGTAGTGTTCCTTTCACTGCATCAGAGCAGGCATTGATGATGCCTGGGATGGGAAGTGCTTCTAGTTTGACAGAATATGGTTTACCCTTTTTTACAAATTGCATTTCTTTCATTACTTTTGATTACTTTCCTTGTCTGTCAGTCATTGGTATATCTTTTTTTTGTGAATTCTGCCCTTTGTTTACCTATTTGATATTAGAATAACTTTTGATTTGAGGTCTTTGGATAATAATGGTAGTTCATTCTTGTTATATTTGTTTTCTGTTTGTGTGTCTCATTTTTTGTTGTTTAAAAAGCTTTAGACATTCTTCCTCATCGAATCTGTCTCTTTTCTTTGTAACTTCAGTTAGCAAGTCTTGCCCATCGGGAGTTTTGATGGAGTTTTGATAAGTATGTACTTCTTTTCTGCTAACTTTCAAAAATATTGAACTCTTTCAGAATTTTTTGTCTATCATAAAAACGAACTTATACAAATTCAAGTAGTCCAGAACTTTTAGGGGTGGGGGGAGGTGGGGGAAATAAGTGAAGGTAGTTATTCCAGTTGAAAGATGAATAAGTCCTGGGAATGTACTGTACAGCACGGTGACTGTAATTAACAATACTGTATTGTACATTTGAAAGTTGCCAGGAGAGTAGCTCATAAAGGTTCTCAACACACACACACAAATTGTAACTGTGAGGTGACAGATGTGTTAACTAACGTTATTGTAATCATTTCATTATATAATATATATAATCATTATGTTGTATATTACATGCACCTTAAACTTTCATAATGTTACATGTCAATTATATCTCAATTTTTTAAAAAAGAACTTTTCTCATCTTAAAAGTTCACAATTGGGATAAGAAAACTTTGGCCATTCTTATCTTAGTGCAATGGTTCTCAAATCACCTGGAGCACTTGGCGAATCTCAGGTGTCTACCTCAGAGGTTCTGCCCTGTGGGTCCAAGGCGGGGCTTGGAATTTGCATTTCTAGCAAATCTGAGGGGGCGGGGGGGGGGAGAAGAAAATTTAAAACATCTTGGACAAAAATAAAATATAAACTGGGAATTATTCCCCTCCCCTCCCAACAGTTTCATTCTCCAGAGACAACCACTTTTATAGTTTGGTGTACATTTCAGGCTTTTTTTCTATGTTTGTTTATTTGGCCATACACTTTCATGGAGTTAGTTTTGTTTTTGCACAAATAGGATTCCATTGTGATTTTTGCATTTTGTCTTTCTTGTCGGGCAATATATTACCAACATCTTTTCCAAATTAGTACATAGACACTGACCTAATTTAAAGGCTCCTTGTTGTTCCATAGTATGACTATCCCAGAGTTTTACTCTTCCTCCTGGATGGACATTTAACTTGTTTCTTTTGGGAAGAGGGGCTATTAAAATCAGTGCTACAGTGAATACCCTGGTATGTGTATTTCTGTGGTCGTATTGTTTTCAGAGAGAGATTGATCTCTTCTGTCCATCTGGACTTTATGTTGATGCATGAACTAAGATCTACATTCATTTCTCTGTTTATTTTCTGAATAGCTAACTGGCATCATCTCCTGAGTGTCCTTCCCCTTTTCCTTCAATGCACACACTTAATTTATCCCATATGAAATTTTTCCTGGGATGTTTGTCAGTGCTGTTTTTGGTTCTGATTTTGTGTTCAGTGGGTCAGATGTGTATGGAGGTGGGAGAGCTGGGAAGGCAGTTCTGAAGTGTATATGGACGTGACCATGGCCGGTGGTTCCTGACACCGACTCGTGTCACAGCCTAGCTGCCTAACGTGCTGCTTCTTCTTTGCCCCCAGTACCTGTTCCTGACCTTCCCGAGGATTGTCTTCCTGTTGGGCTTTGTTATGGTGCTGAGCTTCCTCCTGGGGAGCTACCTGTGCTTCTGTCTGTACCTGGCCGCTACCAACCAGACCACTAACGAGTGGTACAGAGGTGCCCGAGCCTGGTGCCAGCATTGCCCCCACGTGGCCTGGCCCCCGTCAGCAGAGCCCCAGGTTTACCGGAACATTCACTCCCGTGGGCTTTGGAGCAACCTTCGCGAGATCTTCCTACCTGCTGTTGCACATTATGAGAGAAAGAAGGAATAAGAATGGGAAGAGTGTTGCTGCCTTTTAAATATAGTATATGTTTATTTATACATATGGATACTTTCTTCTTTTTTTTTAAATTTTTATTTAGTGGGTCTTCGTTACTGCACGTGGGCTTTCTCTAGTTGTGTCGAGTGGTGGCTTCTTATTGCAGAGCACGGGCTCTAGGCACACGGGCTTCAGTAGTTGCGGTCATGGGCTCTAGAGCGCAGGCTCAGTACTTGTGGTGCACGGGCTTAGTTGCTCCATGGCATGTGGGATCTTCCTGGACCAGGGCTCGAACCCGTGTCCCCTGCACTGGCAGGCAGATTCTTAACCACTGTGCCACCAGGGAAGTCCTCGATGCTTACTTTCTAAGCATTGGTTTATTTCTTTTTTCCCGGTTTCTGCTGTGTTTATGAATTGGCTCTCAGTAGCTAAGGAAGGGAAGGGAAAACTAGTGTTTACTGAGTGCCTAAGCTTTGCCAGGTGCCATGCTAATAAACCCTAGGGCAGAAATGCCCCTTGCTCATCCTCTGTTCATTCAGCCGGCTGGAGTGGAGCATCTCTAAAGTCCTGGTGCCAAGGGGCTCAAAGGTGAATTCCCAGAGGTTCCAGTTGTCCTTGGTCTCCCACTGGGCTCCTGGACAGGAGGGGCCTTATGGCTGTGTCCCCTGATGTGCAGGAGGGTCTCCGTGACTTGAAGTTGTCTCAGCTGCACCCTCTTTAATGTCCTTTCCATCTTTCCCTGGGAAAGGCCTTGGCTCTTTTCATCTCCTTGACCACACCCAGCATCCTTTCCTAGGCCCACCCTCAGGCCAGAATGGACCTTTTACAGAAGACTCATTCCTGTAGCCTCTGGCCTGCCCTCCACTGGCCTCTTGTGGCCACATTCAAGTCATTTCTGCCGTTTTTAAAGTCCCAGGCTAACCCTGCTGTTCATTCATTGCAGAGAGATGAATGCAGGAAAAGAGATTCACAGAAAGTGCTGAGGGTTTTGAGGTCGTAGTGGTCAGGCGCAGGAGACCTGATTCCTATGGCCCTCCCAGGCTAGGCGGGGCCCATCTGGAGGGGGCTGGGGAATAGGGACTCTCAGGCAGGCAGGCATCATTTGTCGTCGCAGCCCCGAGTTCAGACTAGATATAGCGTTAAAGATGAACGGCTGGGGCCTGAGCCACGGCCCTGCACCACCACCCTATCCTTGGAAAAGCTCCATGAAATCACACGGCTTTGAACGCCGCGCAGAGAAAGCAAGGGGAGCTCCGGACGGGCCTTGCGGGGCTGGGGGGCGTGCACAAGACCTAGATTGCGTTCTCTGGTGGATGTGGCCCCCAGCTCGGCAGCTCGGGACCCGCTCGGCGGTCGCCGGGCCCAGGGGCGGGGTTCAGGGGCGGGGCCCTTCCGCGCCCGCGGGCCAAGCCGCCAGGGGGCACCCTCAGGGGGCGGGCCCTCGCCACTGCCTGCGCTTGGCCCTTGCGGGCCGCCGTTGCCGCGCTCGGCATATGCCGTCTTTCGACCCCGCGGCATCGGGTTCCCCGGGCTCTTGGTGGCGCCGGAGTCGCACACCCGGGGCGCCCACTGGCCGCCGGCGGCGGCGGCGGTGGCCCCCTGAGCGGGCCAGAACGGGGAGCGGGGAGCGGGCGAGCGCCGCGGCCCAGGCCCAGGGTTAGAGCGCAGGCTCAGTACTTGTGGTGCACGGGCTTAGTTGCTCCATGGCATGTGGGATCTTCCTGGACCAGGGCTCGAACCCGTGTCCCCTGCACTGGCAGGCAGATTCTTAACCACTGTGCCACCAGGGAAGTCCTCGATGCTTACTTTCTAAGCATTGGTTTATTTCTTTTTTCCCGGTTTCTGCTGTGTTTATGAATTGGCTCTCAGTAGCTAAGGAAGGGAAGGGAAAACTAGTGTTTACTGAGTGCCTAAGCTTTGCCAGGTGCCATGCTAATAAACCCTAGGGCAGAAATGCCCCTTGCTCATCCTCTGTTCATTCAGCCGGCTGGAGTGGAGCATCTCTAAAGTCCTGGTGCCAAGGGGCTCAAAGGTGAATTCCCAGAGGTTCCAGTTGTCCTTGGTCTCCCACTGGGCTCCTGGACAGGAGGGGCCTTATGGCTGTGTCCCCTGATGTGCAGGAGGGTCTCCGTGACTTGAAGTTGTCTCAGCTGCACCCTCTTTAATGTCCTTTCCATCTTTCCCTGGGAAAGGCCTTGGCTCTTTTCATCTCCTTGACCACACCCAGCATCCTTTCCTAGGCCCACCCTCAGGCCAGAATGGACCTTTTACAGAAGACTCATTCCTGTAGCCTCTGGCCTGCCCTCCACTGGCCTCTTGTGGCCACATTCAAGTCATTTCTGCCGTTTTTAAAGTCCCAGGCTAACCCTGCTGTTCATTCATTGCAGAGAGATGAATGCAGGAAAAGAGATTCACAGAAAGTGCTGAGGGTTTTGAGGTCGTAGTGGTCAGGCGCAGGAGACCTGATTCCTATGGCCCTCCCAGGCTAGGCGGGGCCCATCTGGAGGGGGCTGGGGAATAGGGACTCTCAGGCAGGCAGGCATCATTTGTCGTCGCAGCCCCGAGTTCAGACTAGATATAGCGTTAAAGATGAACGGCTGGGGCCTGAGCCACGGCCCTGCACCACCACCCTATCCTTGGAAAAGCTCCATGAAATCACACGGCTTTGAACGCCGCGCAGAGAAAGCAAGGGGAGCTCCGGACGGGCCTTGCGGGGCTGGGGGGCGTGCACAAGACCTAGATTGCGTTCTCTGGTGGATGTGGCCCCCAGCTCGGCAGCTCGGGACCCGCTCGGCGGTCGCCGGGCCCAGGGGCGGGGTTCAGGGGCGGGGCCCTTCCGCGCCCGCGGGCCAAGCCGCCAGGGGGCACCCTCAGGGGGCGGGCCCTCGCCACTGCCTGCGCTTGGCCCTTGCGGGCCGCCGTTGCCGCGCTCGGCATATGCCGTCTTTCGACCCCGCGGCATCGGGTTCCCCGGGCTCTTGGTGGCGCCGGAGTCGCACACCCGGGGCGCCCACTGGCCGCCGGCGGCGGCGGCGGTGGCCCCCTGAGCGGGCCAGAACGGGGAGCGGGGAGCGGGCGAGCGCCGCGGCCCAGGCCCAGGGTCGGCGGGCGGAGGCCGACTCGCGGCCTCTTTGTCTCGGCAGCGGCGGGCGCGTCCGCGGGGCCCGGGGCGGAAGTCCCGCCGCGCTCCCGGCGCCCCGGCCGCAGAGGTGGCACCATGAGCGACATCCGCCACTCGCTCCTGCGCCGCGACGCGCTCAGCGCCGCCAAGGAGGTGCTGTACCACCTGGACATCTACTTCAGCAGCCAGCTGCAGAGCGCGCCGCTGCCCATCGTGGACAAGGGCCCTGTGGAGCTGCTCGAGGAGTTCGTGTTCCAGGTGCCCAAGGAGCGCGGCGCGCAGCCCAAGGTGCGCCGGGCGTCCGGCTGCCGCGTTCCCGATAAGTAAACTCTGGCTCCTTTTTCCTTCTCGGTGACAAGCGTCGGCCAGACCACAAACGCTCTTCGGATCGGGGGTTCCGTCCTCGCCCTTGGCCTTGCTCCTTCAGCAGCAGCCAAAATGCCAGTTTTGCGGGGCTTGTGACAACCATGTCTCAATGGTGTTAAAGGAAGGGACTTTAAAGGCCTGTTACCGAGAATCTCAAACCGCTGTAGGTCATCCTGAGCCCCCTAGGGTGGTGCATAATGACGTAGAATGGTATTTCTCGAGATTAGCAGTAGAGAGTTCTCCGTGGGACCCGGGCTTTAGGGAGGTGAAAAGTTCTGTGGTGAAACCAGTGTTTTCTGTTTTCTCACTGTGTGAAATTAATAGGCCGAATTTCTCATCGCTTCTCCTGGATTTGTTTTACAGAGATTGAACTCACTTCAGGAGCTTCAACTTCTTGAAATCATGTGCAGTTATTTCCAGGAGCAAACCAAGGACTCTGTCCGGCAGATTATTTTCTCATCCCTTTTCAGCCCCCAAGGGAACAAAGCCGATGACAGCCGAATGAGCTTGTTGGGAAAGCTGGTCTCCATGGCAGTGGCTGTGTGTCGAATCCCAGTGTTGGAGTGTGCAGCCTCCTGGCTCCAGGTACGTCTCTAGAGATAGCATCTCTGAGAGTCTCTGAAGAGGTGTTTCGTGTCAGGAAGTGTAATTTAATTGGATTTCTAGAGAGGTCTTTTCCATATGTTATCTCCTTGATGTTCCTGCCCTGTATGCTGATACCCCACACCTATATATACAGGTGATCACCATTCTTGAGAAAACAGTAGTTTGTAATGGTAAATGAAGGCTCCATCTTCAGAATAAATGAAAAATTATTTTTCTTAGTTGAAAACAATAAGGTAGGATTTTGAAAACAGCTATGCATGCAGTCTCAAAGATTGGATTCTTTTTTTTTTTAAGGTCACTATGTGTCAAACTGTGGCAGTGTTTGCTTGTTTTTTATACAGTTAGATCAGTAAACATGGGGCTTGTTCCAGTGTGCCATTTCAAAGCTGATGGCTCTTCTAATGGATATGGACATAGGAGCCTTCTGTAGTGTTTTTAAATATCTAAAAAAAAAAAAAAAAAAAGTATTTTCATAGTAGACTTCGTGTTAGATAGTTTTTTGGAAGATCTATTCTGTTTTGCTTTTTTGTTACTCAGAGTTGTTGAAAAATTCATAATCCACTTAGAGTAATTATTAACTCGAATTTTTGATTAACATGATCCTCAGCTAAGCTAACAAAATTTACTACATTCAGTTTTTCAAACCGGCTTCATTCCCAAGGACTTGATATCATTTGGGTTTTTTTCAATTTATTTAAATGTTTTTCCTGTGATCTTATTTATCTTTAAAATTTGGCTAGTAAAAACGTATTCTGTTCTTTGTAATACACAGGTAAATCTCAAGGGAATCTGTACCTTAATGGCCACCATTCTGATTTCTGGGACACCTGAATAAATCTTGTGTGTTGTATTTAATGTCAAGATTACTTCTATCCCTTAACAACCTGATGAAGTCAAGTTTAGCATCTTGAAATTCATCATATAATTTTCCATTTATCTCTCATGGTGCTGTTGCGCTGGCATTTTGGCAAAGTGAAAGCAGATGTTAACAACAGGAAAGGGTCTTGTGGCTTGGGTCAGGGTTTGCCACACTGGGGTGTAGGGCTGCAGCTTCCTCTAGAGAAAAGGGTGGAGATGTCGCTACAGATGGGCATCTGAGTGGGAAGGAGAAAGACGGGAGGGTGGTGATACAGGGTTCAAAAGTATTAACGGAATCCGTAATAGGAAAGGACTGTAGGAAAATTTGAGAAAGTACTGCTTTAAATCATGTGATAGTTCACAGACTCTCCTAAGTCACATCAAAGTGGTACCAACTGTTAATTTTTACCTTTGGAGTCTCATCTGTAGGGTTACAAAAATTGTCATTTCCTCACTTGAAGTCAGGAATGATTTTTTCTGAAGTAAGCTTCAAAGGTCGGCAGGCCTTTCATGTAAAGGGCAAGATAGTAAACATTTTAGGCTTTTCGGGTCATATAATCTCTCTCTTTTTTAAAAAAAATATTTGTTTATTTGGCTGCTCCGGGTCTTAGTTGCTGCATGCGGGATCTTTAGTTGTGGCATGCAGGATCTGGTTCCCTGACCAGGGATCGAACCCAGGCCCCCTGTATTGGGAGCATGGAGTCTTAGCCACTGGACCACCAGGGAAGTCCCTCGGGTTATATGATCTCTGTCACCTCTACTCAGCTGTGCCCTTGTAGTGCAGGAGCAGCCTGAGACAATAGCAAACGCATGAGCAGGGCTGTGTTTAAATAAAACCTTATTTACAAAAAGAGGTGGCAGGGTGGATTTGGTCTGTGGGCTTTCATTTGCCAACCTCTGCTTCAAAGTAACGTCTTCTTCCCCTCTTGGAAGGGGTTCTGCCAGTTCTGATCTTCACCACGTGTACATAGTTGCTAGTCTCCTGGCTCACGACACCTGTAGTTACATGGACTGTGGCTTCTTTCCAGCGGACGCCTGTGGTCTACTGTGTGCGGTTAGCCAGGGCCCTCGTGGATGACTACTGCTGTCTGGTGCCGGGATCCGTTCAGACGCTGAAGCAAATATTCAGTGCCAGCCCTCGCTTCTGCTGCCAGTTCATAACCTCAGTCACTGCGCTGTATGACCTGTCATCAGGTAAACTTTAAGCAGATTGTTACCCTTAAAGAGGCTTCGGCCGATTGCTAGTTGTATTTGTACTGAACACCCAGCCAGCGGATGGCCTTTTTTTTTTTTTTTTTTCTCTCTCTGAAATGTGTATTTTATTTCAGGCTGAAAGCTAAAGGGGTGGGCCACCTGCACCTCTGGAATTTGCTAACAGGGAACTTTCCTTAGTGAGTTCCATTTGCCTGACTCAGAATGGTCCAGGTGGCAGACAGCTAATAAGCAAGGGTCTGGTGTCTGGGACAGATGTGGCTTTCTCACCGGACATGACCTGCTTTTTTTTTTTTTTTTTTTTTTTTTTTTTTTTTTTTTAACACACCACTCAGCATGTGTGGTCTTAGTTCCCCAAGCAGGGACTGAACCCGTGGTCCCTGCATTGGGAGCACAGCATCCTAACCAGTGGGCCACCGGGGAAGTCCCCATGACTTGCTTTTTTTATTCCCGACTTTTTATTTAGAAAAATTGCAAAACTTCAGGAAAGCTGCAAGAATATTACAACAAAGGTTTGTGTATCTCTCACCGAGGTTCACCAGTTATTAACATTTGCCATATATTCTTTTTTTTCTCTTTTCCTTTTGATCTCTCTTTCTTTCCCCTTCTCTCCACATACACACTCACAGGTATTTTTTTCCTGAACCCTTGAGCTTGTTGCCAGTGTCAGGTACCAAGTACTTAAATGTGTATCTAAGAACAAGAACATTCCCTTACACAATCATGATATCATTATCACATGTAAGAAATTAAATACTGACAGAATACTTTAATCGCATATATTTAGCCGTTGTTCAGATTTCCTTGATCGTCTCAATAATGTCTTTTATAGCCTTTTTCCCCCCTTTTGAGGGACCAGGAGAATTCGGGATCCAGTCAAGGCTCATACATAGTTGTTACGTCACTTTGGTCCTTTTAAAATAGTTCCCACACAGACGCAGAGAATGGAATTGAGGACACAGGGAGGGGGGAAGGGTAAGCTGGGACGAAGCCAGACAGTGGCATGGACGTATGTGCACTACCAAATGTAAAATAGATAGCTAGTGGGAAGCAGCCATATAGCACAGGGAGATCAGCTCGGTGCTTTGTCACCACCTAGAAGGGTGGGTTAGGGAGGGTGGGAGGGAGATGCCAGAGTGAAGAGATATGGGGATATATGTACATGTATAGCTGATTGACTTTGTTATACAGCAGAAACTAACACACCATTGTAAAGCAGTTATACTCCAATCAAGATGTTAAAAAAAATAATAAAACAGTTCCCAGCCTTTAAAAAGATCTCTATGATATTGACATTTTTTGAGAGCTCAGGCCTGTTGTTTTGCAAAATGTCCCTCAATTTAGTTTTGTCTGTTTCCTTATGAAAGGTTCAAGTTAAACATTTGTGGCAACAGTATTACCCAGGCCGTGATGTGTCCTTCCTGCGCCGGGAGGCAAGCGTGTCTGTTGGGCTGTGGGTGATGTTCTGAGACTTCCTTAGCGAGGTACCAGGAGAGGGCCTCAGGTAGGCCATTAGATGGCATTTGACTTCAGCTGGGAGAAGCCCACGTCCGTTGTCCCTCTCCAGCAGCAGAGCCCCCTGGACCCCCAATAAAGAAAACCAAGAGAAGTTGACCAGCTCTGGTTGAATTGTGGCAGGGGTCTCAGACCCCACCCACTGGGCCCTTTTGCCCACTTTCCTCCCCCAGCAGTGGGTTTCAGGGAACATGGATTGACAAGCACTGAGTCCTTCTACATCTGTGTCCTTGAATGACCCCCACAGCCCTTGCAGCCCCTGGCTAGGGCTGCTGCCCTCGCTTTGCATTTGGGGAAGTTACAGGCCTCGCCCTCGTGAGCAGCTTTCTCTGCAGAGGCAGACCCGAAGCCCGCTGTTCTAGTTCAGGTTCCTCCTCTGCCTTCAGCCTTGGCCACTCAGAGGGCTGGCAGGTAGCCTCTTTCTTCTCCTGGTCTAATAGCTAACCCAGCTGCTGGAAAGCCTTAGCAGCATTCTCCACTCTTGTTCAGTCCAGCATTGGTCTCCTGCCAGCACCCTGATTGTATTTGATTCTCCTTTTATTTGTAACTCTCTTCCTTGCCGTTAGACTTTTTAGTTCTCTTGAGAAAGTTCGCATGGACCTTCCATGAACGTTTAAGTGCGTATCATACCCGCGTGTAATTGCATACTTTGCTTGCGTCGCTGCGTGCCGCTCGCTGGGATGGGTGGCAGGGCTTGTGGGCGCCCTGCTGCTGGAGTGGAGTCTTCCCTGGCGCTCTCCTAAGAGGCTTCTCAAGAGCTCTTAATAGCTAGGAATGGTATTTAGGCCTTTTGTGTTCCCATAGGAAGGATTTGCAGCATCGTAGTTGCTCTTTCAAGTCATCGGTTATTCCAGGGCAACAAGGACAGAAATTGGCCTTAACATTGGGAATGGATTCCTCAACATATGGAGAAGGAAATAATGTCCAGAAAATACCACTAACGTTCTAGGATGGACATGAGACGTGGTATTTTTCTCTTAAGTCAATTTGCCAGTCTGACATGTCAAGTCTTTTTTTTAAACCACTCTGTCGAGGTAGGATTGACATAGAGAGAGCTATATATTTATATGTACAGTTGGATGAGGTTGGAGATACGGAAATCCCTGGCTCCATAGTGGTGGCCCAGAGGGTGGACCTGAGTCCGCTGGCAGCAGGGTGCTTGCCGCTGCTCTTGGTGCTGTGGCTAACGGGCGTCTGTGCCTCCAAAGCTGTGAAACGGAAGGGGCTCACCTAACCAAACAGAACACCCTCTTGCCCCAGTGTCACAGGGAACCTGGGTCTCTGCATACGAAGGTTGTGGAGATTGTTCACGCAAGTACACACGCTCACGTGTACTCACCGAGCACACGTGTACACAGCATGTGTGCATATGCCACCTTCAGGCTCCGGAGATGCCCCAGCTAGACGTGTGTGGGGCAGGGGAGGGGCTGGGTTGCTGGAGGAGTGGACCTGAGACTGGCGTGTCCCAGACAGAAACGTTTCGGGGAGTCAAGGGGCCAGACACAGGGTCAGCACTGTTTATTTTGCCAAGTAAAGGTCATAGACGACAACTCCCTCTTGTCATCGTCATTTCGTAGCAGAAGGGAAGGGCGTGGGTCAGCCCCCAAGCAGTAGACAGTCCCAGGGGAAAGGCCGCTGTCTCCTGAGGAAGAGCAGTTGGAGACTTCACACCAACACGGGGCTCACTCTGCCCCTCAGTCTCTCTTCTCATGCTTGGCTCTGGACCTCAGCAGCCTGGAAGGGGCTCCGTCATCCCCAGCTTCTTCATGAGCTGAGGTGTGCACAGCCTCAGAGGCAGGAGGCTGGGGACCCGCTCCCACGCACACACAGACAGCCTAAGGGCAGTGTCCGCTGACCCCAGGATGGGCGGTGTAGCCTAGTGGTAAGAGCTGGGCCACCGGGGGTCAGGTCTGGGCCCACCACGTAGTTTTTTTGTTTTGTTTTCGGTACGCGGGCCTCTCACCGCTGTGGCCTCTCCCGCTGCGGAGCACAGGCTCCGGACGCGCAGAGCTTAGCGGCCATGGCTCACGGGCCTAGCCGCTCCGCGGCACGTGGGATCCTCCCGGACCAGGGCACGAACCAGCGTCCCCTGCATCGGCAGGCGGACTCGCAACCACTGCGCCACCAGGGAAGCCCCCACCATGTAGTTTTAATGAGTCTGGAGAAAATGATTTAACATCTCTGTGCCTCAGTTTCCTCATCCTCTATATAATAGATGGTTTGTTTGAGGATTAAGTGAGTTCATCTGTGTTAGGACTTAGCCCGGTGCCTGGCATGTCATAAACTCAGAATAAATGTCAACTTTTGTTTTTAAAGTTACTGTTCTCTGTCTTCCCATAGAATGTACTAGATCTCAGGACTCACAGGAGGCCAGGCCTTGCTTAGAGTTTCCAGGTTTGGGGCTGGGATGGCTCCTGGCAGCGGACAGATCGTTGTCTGGACTCTGAGCTGCTCTCTCAAGGTCCCGTAGCTGTCACCGTACCACTGAGGGGACACCAAACACAGGGATGAAACCTACTCACAAGGAAAAGGATGAAGTGTGGTGGTGGTAGTTCTGGACATAGATAGTGGACTTTTATTTAAATTGACACATAGGATCACAAGGCATAATGGAGCTCTAGGGAATTGTTGGTTTAATGTGTTGAGCCCAACCATGGCCAGGCCTTCCTAAGTCGGATGAGAGCCCAGCCCTCTCGGAGGGGACGTTCCAGGAAAGGAGACAGGGTAGGTGAGGACAGAGGTGCGTCGTCCGGAAGTCGGGTGATGAGTACTGTGAGCTTGAAGGTCTGTCTGTCCCTGTCTCCTGTCCGTGGGGCTGAAGACCCTTCTGACTTTGTTTTGCAGACGATCTCATCCCACCGTTGGACTTGCTTGAGATGATTGTCAACTGGATTTTTGAGGACCCGAGGTTGATTCTCATCACTTTTTTAAATACTCCGATTGCAGCCAATCTCCCAATAGGATTTTTAGAGCTCACCCCGCTCACTGGATTGATCCGCTGGTGTGTGAAGGCCCCTCTGGCTTATAAAAGAAAGAAGAAGCCCCCCTTAGCCAATGGCCCCGTCACTGCCAAAGTCACCAAGGACTCAGGGGGGACGGACAGAGATTCCCACCTCTTGTACTCAAAGCTCCACCTCAGCGTCCTGCAGGTCCTCCTGATGCTCCAGGCGCACTTGACTGAGAAGAACCTGTACGGCCGCCTGGGGCTCATCCTGTGTGACCACGTGGTCCCGCTGGTGGAGGAAATCAGCAGCTCGGCGGATGAACTGAAGCCCCTCAACGCCTCCCAGGAGGTCGAGCTCTGCCTGGACCGGCTGGCACAGGCTCTGCAGGTGGCCATGGCCTCTGGAGCCTTGCTGTGCACGAGAGGTGGGTGATTGCCTGCCCAGGCCTCCCGGGGGCGGGTCACCACCACCCATCGGAAGGAAAATCGGGGCTCCTGGACAAGGGCTGTTTTCCGCTTTTAGGACTTCTTTCCTCTCAGTGAACGCAGGGTAGGTGGGCGCAAGTTGGAGGACGTGCCTAGGTAGAACCCTGTGGCCGTGGCATCTGGGTGTCTCCTGGCTGTTTTGCCCGGGCCTGGGGATGCCTCCAGAGCACAGATAATAATGGCTTAATCTCCTTCCTTTTAGGGAGTCTTCTTTTTCTGCAGTTCTTTTGCATTGCAGCATAATTTACATACAATGAAATGCACCTGTTTAAGTGCAGGAACCATTCCCATCACCTGTTCTGAGGGCTCCTTAATTCTGCATTTCAGTTCTTGAACTGCCCAGGAGAATGATCTGATGCTAATGACACACTTCTGTTTGCTTTTTGACTGCTGGCTCACAGACATTGCCTGAGGCCCATGCAGTAGTCCCTGGAGATGGGTTTCCCTCTTATCTCTTATCTCAGCCTTGGGCGTCTGATCGGTTGTCTCTGGGCCTTTTCCCAGCCATCTGACAAATTGCCAGTAGAGCTGCCCTCTTTCCTAAGTGATGTCTTCTGTTGAGGGCGTGTGTTAAAGCAAAAATCGAAGAAAAAGAGAGCCCCGCTTCTAAATGATGCTAGGAAGTTGAGCGTGAGGTATTGTTACTGTCTCGCTAGCATCCTTGAACATCAGCAAACCTCTCACCTCGTCATCTCCAGGCCGTTCCTTAATTCTGTGTCTCCTTCATTTCAGATGACCTGAGGACCTTGTGCTCCCGGCTGCCCCATAATAAGTAAGTACCCTCCCAAGACTTCTAGCTGGGCCGGGGCGGGGGTGGGTGAGGGAGTGGTGGCGTGCAAGGCAGGGCGGACCCCTTGTCCTGGCTTCTTGGGGAGAGCTGGTTTGCAGGGTCTAGAGCGTCTGTGAATAAGGGGCCCCCCAGAACCTGATAGTAAGTGGGGGAATGGATGTGATAGCATAACACAGGAGAGGAGGCCCAAGCAGGGAGTCCATCAACGAGGTGAGAAAAGTGGCCGTCCTTCTGGGCGTCGAGAAAGAAGCCGGAGCGAACTCGGGGGGCCTTTACTGCTCACTACGTCAGCGTGCGTGTGGGTCGTGGTGATGGCACGCGCTGTTGGCGACATTGATTGCACAGCCCTTCGGGAAGCACTGTGTCGGTTAGGCCAGTGCTTGGTCTCGGGTGGCACAGACTGGGCTCTGAGCGTGGTTCTGTCTGTGGTTTGCTGGGACGCCGGGGCTGACTCTTTTGCCTTGGTTTCCCCCCTTGTAAAATGGGGACCGTAATTCGCCTGCCTCCCAGGGTTGTACTGAGGTGTAAATGAGGTGGTGTTTGCAAAGTTGTTTGTCCACAGCACACGGGAGTCTCTCCGTAAGTGGTCGTTATTGTCCTCATGTCGGGGGACGTAGTGGTAATAACAGTGGTGAAAAGCAGGAGCTGTGTGGTCGCAACAGCTTCTGGTGAGAATTCCACCCCTACTGCTTCCTATCTGTAAGACCTTGGGCAAGTTCCCACTGCCCCTGTTTTCTCTATAAAATCAAGAAAACAATAGTACCCGCCTCAGGTCCCCCTGCCTCCCCCGCTCTGCTCCCCTCCTAGGAGTTTTGTGAGGATTAATTGAGTAAAAACAGAAAGCACTTAGAATGGTACTTGATATGTAAATAATGTAAGAAGTGTTAGCTACTGTAACTTTTACTGTTATTTGTGTTTCGATTAAGGAGTTTCTCTTAATCGAATTAATTTCACTGAAGCTAAGAAGCAAAAAGCTATGTGCACAAAAATGTTTCATGCAAAGGCAGTCTTGTCAGTAGCAAAAAGTCAGAAACAAGCTAACCATCCCATAGCATGAGGATACTTAGTAAGTTAGTAGTGATAGGAGGGAACATTATGTGTCCACTAAAAACAGTAATTGTGGCCACCGTGCAAGGAGATGTTTATAGTTGAAGGCAGAGCTGCCCTGCTGCCTGCTGTGTGCACCTGGGCAGGGTTTACAGGAATGAAAACAGCCGAGTTCTTTCTTCAGAGGGTCTCACTGGTTTTTAAGGTGGATAGTGGGGCTCCAGGGCTGGCATTGGCAGGCAGTGCGGACAGAGGGTGAGCAAGCCCACTGGGCCCCTCGGCACCGTGTGGGCTCGCCCAGGGCCTGACCCGCCAGCCCTGCTGGGGCCCGGGGGTGGGGCAGGTGTGGCAGGCTGAGCAGAGGCTTAATTTGAGGCCAGAAGATGGGCCAGATGCTACTTCTGGGCTGACAGGAGAGGAGCTGCGGCCAGAGGGCCGGGAGCTTGGCGTCGGGCCCTAAGGGGCAGGCAGCTCCAGGCAGGCATCTGGGTGGTTAAACGGGGGTTTCTGGAGCAACAAAACGGTGCACCTTGAGATGTGACATCAGCAGGGTGGACAGCTTGTCCAGAGCCCACCTCGCCCTCGGGAGCCCACACTGTTCCTTTGTCTCCCTCCCTCCGTCCCTTCCTTCTTTCCTTTCTTCCCTCCAAGAAAGTCTCCTGTGTCTGAGGACATCGTCAGTGCAAGTGGCACCTCTTCACCTCCTTGCACTAATCCCTTTGTAACCTTTTCCTTCTTTGTGCACAGCTTTTATTTAATGGTTAATGTTTTCAGGGCATTAAAATAGTGATACGGTATGAATCGTTTATCATCTCAGTGTTATAACTAGGGGCCCCAGTGGGAATCCTCTGGAACTTCTAACAGCCCCGAGGGACCTCCCCGCCCCCCACCAGGGGCCTGTAGCTGCTGCTCCGATGTACAGCCCTGGGCCCCAGTCCCCCAGGGGCAGCCTGGCACTGACATGGGGGAAGAGTGGCCCACGGTCGCTTGGACTACCGCTTTGATTTCTGATTGTCCCTTTTGTGTTAATTGTCTTCTGGACTAGACCAGAAACTTCCTGAAAGCCCTGCTCTCTCTGGCAGGGCGTGTGCAGGTGCAAACGAGCTTGTGACCTCCGTTTTGCCTCTGCAGTATATTCCCTCCTTAGACTTACTTGTTTGTTTGCTTATTTTCCTTGAGTTTCTTACCCAGAGTTATTAAACCGTAGTAGTTATTAAAACGTAGTGAAAGGAGTCAGAAGAGCTTCAAGCCACTGAAAGGCACCAGCTTTCTTCACACCTGGGTTTACTGCCTGAGCCCCTCCTGGGGGCCCAGGGTACCAGACTTTGTACTTGGGGGTTGGGAGAGCGTGAGGGTCACTCTGCCAAAGACCTAGGCCCGCCCCCCGCTTCATCTCAGAGCTCCAGGAAGCAGCCGACCGTAGTCAGTCGCCCAAGGGTGAAGTGGCCCGGCGGGGTGGGCTTTCGCTGGGCCAAGCAGGACAGCATGCAGGGGAGGTGTGGCCTCATGGGACCGGGAAGCTGAGGGGCAAGTGGTGGGCATGAACGGGACCTGGCAGGCGGGGTTTGGTGATGTGGAGGGACAGTGTACACACTCGAGAGACAGGACCCAGCCGGAGCCACAGCCCTGGGTGAGGCTGGGAGAGCAAAGCACAGAGGCCAGGGGATCCGGGGGGAGGGCAGGGCTGGGGAGGGGCCCTCTGTCCTGAAGGGGCGTAACCTGGGGAGTTGGTTATTTCAGGCTGAGTCCGGACAAGCTAGAGGTGGAGAGAAAGTTAGGACGCTCTGCTGATCGTGCTGAGAGGGGAGGGTGGCATTAGATGGGATGAGACTAATGAGAGGAAGCTCTTCAAAGGGTCTCAGAAGGGACCGGCATAGGAGGCGACATTGAATTCAGGAGCGGGGAGGACTTCCTGGAGGCAGAGGCTGTTGATGTGCTGAACCACAGAGAGCAGAGCACAGGCCAGGGTGGGAGGGGGTTGGGGAGGGGAGTGGGGCAGGAGGGGGCCCTGAAAGTGGGTGAGGGCTGGGTCCAGGCCGGGGCCATTCCTGAGGACTCTGGACGTCAGGGTCATGTGAAAAGCCACCTTCTGTGTGGCTTTGCTTGGAATTCAGTTAGGACTCGGTCATTAGGAGTGACTTGGAGAAGCGTGGCCCTCTGTCCTTTTTGCTGTGGCTCCTCAGTCACAACCCCCAAAGGTGTGGACAGGTGAGGCTGACACCAGTGCCCACCTGCATGGTCCCCAAGCCACAGATGCCAAGGCTGTGTCTGGAGCTTCTGTGGACTACAGGCCCCCTCCCTCCCTCCCCATCGCTGCCGGCAGGATCCCGGCTTTTCCCACCACGGGCCCTTGCCTCTCCGGGCCCCAGTCTGTCAATACATCCCGCTGCCTCCAGGTCACCCCCTCCTGCTGCTACCCAGCCATGAGCCACCCTCCGTCCTCCCTGGAAACTTGGTGTCTGTCCCGGCACAGGAGCAAGGACCACCACAGCAGCCTAGCCTGCCCCCCCACCCATAACGCCACGGGTCGGGCGGATGCCACCGTTGGCACCGTTGGCATCCTAACCCTTCTCCTTGTATTTGCAGCCTTCTCCAGCTGGTGATCTCGGGCCCTGTGCCGCAGTCGCCGCATGCGGCGCTCCCTCCCGGGTTCTACCCTCACATCCACACACCCCCACTGGGCTACGGGGCTGTGCCGGCCCACCCTGCCGCCCACCCTGCCCTGCCCACGCACCCTGGGCACACCTTCATCTCAGGCATGACCTTCCCGTTCAGGCCCATCCGCTAGGCTGGCCCCCACGAACCGCTGAGTGGCACCGTGCCTTCCATGCCTGGTTGGAGGAAGCCTTCCCAGGAAAGGACGACCGATCCATAGGAGAGGGTTCGGCGGGCAGCCGGACGGCCGCTCCTCACTGCAGAACCACAGAACCGGGTCGGTGCGGAAGTTCTGCGATGTCGCCGTCCAGGCGCCTCTACCTGTCTCATTCGTAAAAGTCCAGATGGGATGGATGAAAGGAAATGTCCAGCCCTCTGCGGAGCGATGCGGGCATCTTTAAAAGCTGCCAGGCCTGTGAGCCTGTGGTCTGGGGTGTCACTGCGGACACACGCCCTGAGCCTGTGCCGTCGGAGCACTGGTGGAGGAGCAGCGTGTGCGAGTCCACGTGTCTGGCTTCCCTCCTTGTGGACGGGCTGCGTCCCGCCAAGAGCACAAGGCACTCGCATGGCTCCGGGAGCGCAAGGCTGAA